ATTTTATTTATTTTAGTTGTTTTAAATTTTTGAATTGAGTTCGAAAAATTAAATGTTTTTTTAAATACTATGTGATTCTATATGTACCATATAATAGGTTTACCTATGAAATTGCCGTTTTGTATGCAATAAGTGAAAGTACTTATTTTCTCAAACTTTTTTTATTTCTGTTATTCGAAGTAATCACCCATGCAGTCGACGCATCTTTGCCAACGCATTGGCAGTTTATTGGCCCTTCTTGTAAAAATCAGCTGGACGGGAGGCAACAAACTCTTCAAAGGCATTTTGTACTGCCTCTCGGGAATTGAATTTTATACCCACTAAAAAGTTCACTAAATTTTGGAAAGACCTATTATAACCTAAAAGCTCATCAAGAGAAAAGTGAAATTAAATAATCCTCAACAGCAATCAAAAATATTATATTTAACAGTATACGTTTGATTATAAAAAAATGATTACAATGCCATCTATGTTATTATACGAGAACAAAGATCGGAATTGCTTCAACTGAATTTTTATTAATGTAACGTGGAAAATTCAATACGCGTAATTCCTATTGGGTTCTTTTAGTACAGCGCCATCTTCATTTACAAGTAAGGACGCAACTTGTTGTTTAAATTCGAAAAAGTATAGATGTCGTGTTTTGGCTCAGTGGATTACCACAAAGAATATTAATTCTTTACAGCTATTAAGAGATGGCTCTGTTACGAAGAAAAAAAGAAATGTGTTTTGCTCTCCTTTTACATTTTTACACGCTTTATATTAGCTTCACTTGTATGTTAGTTTGTATGTTAGTAACCGACTTCTTTCAGCGTGATTTTGACTGACTTTAAACGGTCAGAATTCGTTCAAACTTTGTAGATATATCGAGGACCGATGATGATACACTAATTTAAAAAAAAATAGTTTTCAAAAACTAAACTACACATGCCAAACCAAGCGTGGGGTGCTTTTTACTATTGACAACAGGCACCAAACGCTTTTTTTTCAAATTTATTTTCTATTTTTAGTTTGGTTTTCTATAGAAAGCGTGTTTTTTAAAACCATTTTTTTTTTATTATAGATCTTAAATAGATGCACTAATTCATGATCCACAAAACTAAATAATATAATAGTTTCATGTAGCATTTTGAAAATTCCTGGCTACGTAACTTTCTTCCTCTGAGCCTTTATCCCAAAAAGGTTGGGGTCGGCATTAAGTCTACTACGATACGGCTGAACATCGTTTTCTTAAGCGGAGCGACTGCCATCAGGCCGAGACCGACGACGTGCTCTCCGAGGCACAGAGGGATCTCAATGTGTTAAGAATGGTCACCCATTCATAGATTGATCTGGCTGTGATTGCTCAACTTTGCAAATGTGTTAACCTGCTGGCTTACCACTTAGCCACTAACCCCTCATCCTCTTGGCATCCTACATGCAATTAAAAAATAATATGTCTACGTAGACGGTAGAATTAAGCAAAAATAGAAAAACATCTCCATTTGTGAAGTTGTTTTGTGCATACATTGCATTATAAGTTGCGTGAGTTACAATACTCTTAACAGCACTGTTATACTTAATGTTAAAAATATGTGAGAAACTTCGAAGTATTTTACTACCTACCTCAAAAGTTTGCCTTTACTTTTACGAGTAAAGGGAATAGTAGGGTATGCCGCGGAACTCCGCGGCATACCCTACTATTCCCTTACCCACTATGGTGAGAAGGGTATACCTGCTAAATCCCTCTATAACCAGCTTAAAGACCTTGGATTGCCAAGAGCTTCAGTAAGCGCTTTTCTAGAACGAATATGTAAAGCGGCATTTCTAGGCTTATATAAAATATGGTTAGGTAGAGGGGGGTAACACAGCAGACAGTGGAGGTGAGCGCTGACGTCGCAAGGAGTACTCCCTAAACCTTTCCCTGGATCGCATTTGCTAGGCGCTGTCGGAGTCGCATGTGGGCAACACATGCGACTCCGACAGCGTCTTTTAACATTAAGTATGACAGTGCATCTTTCACGCGATGGACCCGGCACCCGCACGGTGAATCCATGGAACGCTAAGAAATAGGTCTTGATATTCCTTTGTGTCCTAATTTTAAAACAATGGTATAGGAGGATATGTTCGATTATATTTGGTCTTTTATTTCCTTTCTGTTTGATTGGCGTGAGTTGATGTACGTACCTCCTTGGTTTCACAGAATGTTTAAAAATTCTAGCACCCATTGTACTTATAAACTTTTATTATTTCGAATTTCATGATCCTCCATTCGCAAATACCCCTCTTTACCTATTGTTCTATATTATATTACTTAATGTAATATTGCCCTGCATTAAACACATCATCCTGACACGTCAGCCATCCCCGTGTAGAATATTTTACCTTAGTTTATATTCATCCTTTCTTCTTTATATTTTCTTCTTATTACTTATTTCATTCTCTCAAGGTCAGTTAAAGAAAAACAACGTTATACTTTTCATTTTATTTATTTCATCTTCAATTTCAAACTACACCTTCAAAATTACAGTTGATTATAACTACTATAAGCTATAATTTTTATCTAACTCCATACCAGAATCTACATCGTTTATGAAAAATTTTTTGACACGTTTCCAAAACTTCCAAATATAAGAATTCCATCCATTATTTTACGTCTACCTTCCATTACGCGTTTACTACATAATCGAAAATCGCACGTAGTACATGAGATGAATGTATAAGAAATTTTTGTTTTTTTTTCTACGAGAGTAGAACATTAAAAATTGCCTTGATGACAATAATTCTGGACCCAAACATTTTCTATCCCTCTCATGTAATAAGTACAACTGCTTAAGAATAAAACAGTATATTAAATTCTATACTAATATTAATTGCATGCTTGCAAAAGCTGCTCTGCGGTGGTTAAGTTATTACATACACTAATAGTCACATTAGTAACGTACATTCGAAAAAATTCGTTCATTCCCATACATATCTACGTTATTATTAATCTAAGATCACTAAATCAATTAACAAAATAAATCTGTTAAAACTTAATTATTTTAAGTCTCAAACAACATTACTTTTCAAAAAATCAGGTACAAATCAATCAAAATTAACTCTAAGGTAACCGAACCATCCACAGGAAGTATATAATGAGATCTTGTTTTACATAACTATACACACTTGAAATTAAGCACGACTATGCGTTTTACAATAAATACGAACTTAGTACATAAATACACAACATTTTTTTGGCTTTTATTTTAAACGTTAAACACAAAATCACAGAAACAACTATTACATATCATAGCTGCTACACCTTCCATTGAATACACCACTTGTTGTGCATCAATCGTTGTAAAAATACCAAGTGATATAATACTATGAGGGAACTAAACTAGACATAGTTACTGAGGGCCCCATAATTACCATCCCGTTACTCTACTTAACTTCTAATATAACAAAAAATATAAATAAGTCCTCACGTGTAAGTTACATAACATGTGCAATCTTCATCTATGACCTTATATTTATATGTTATGTGCCATTATTATGAGGGTTAACTTACACTTGTATTGTTATGAAAGCTATATAGAAATTCAATTCTAATAATACAGTTTCAAATTGTACAATCATTCGGCCTCAAATACATCTGCCAAAGGACCGATTGAAAAACATTACGAAAACATTAAGAGATATTCCATGGCAATATTGAACAGTTTATACACAATGCACTTAAGTTTTGATATAAATAAGTACTATACTATATTTGTCACTTAGAGCGACAATTTTTCAGTCGCTATTAAGTTTACTTCACGTACGTTTTGGTAGTAAATCGATATTATTTTCGTGATCTGGCCCACGCGGTGGTGACTCATTTTATTACGTTTCTAAGTAAATTGAACCTTGTTTAAATGCTTGTAAGGTTGAATGTGACAACTTTACCCACCACTACATGTTGGTTACATAAATAAATTCACCATATTCAATTTGATTTGTTTTCAACCTTGGTGGAAACGTTATATTCTTTACGTAAGCAGTTTACGCGCTTTAAATATGTAAAGTTGAATATTTTTGTAATGACTCACTATTCTTGAAGCATATTTTACATTCAGAACCGATTCTTTGCACCTGCAGGCACCTCTATGTATAAGTACTGTTTATGAATCAAAGTAATATATCAAAATGTCTGCAAAGAAACTATCTATTATAATATTGTAGTAAAATTAAACAACGCTAAGAAATAAATACGTGACTGTCATTCCTTACACTTATTTTCAGACTTTAATAATGTTAATGATTACATACGTCAATTATCTAGCAAAAACAATAATTATGTTGATATAAATTATTCCATATGTAAAGGCCAGTGGCATTTGCGTCACCAGACTATTGCTTAGGCCATACAATTACAAAATAATATAAAGGTCATTGGAAAGATAACAACATTATGATGATTCATGACATCTTGTGTATAAATAGCTTAATCGTGTATTATTATAAATACTCAAATATCATGATTTGTATCAATATCAAATAAATATACGATACACATGGGTAACACTGACTGATACAAGATATTGTGTCAATATGAGATAAATGATTTGTGAGTAATATGAAGCAATCCCAAAACAAGTACCTATTTCGATACACCATAATATACTATATTAGATTCAAAATGATTATATGCGAATAAATAATATTTTAATTTATAAATACGTTGCTGCAATATGGGGACTAGCATTGTAACAGTGCCACCTGAGCGTATACAAAAGAAATATAAGCCAGTTCTATAGCAAAACACTGAAAATATCCTAAAACTCTTTGGTATTATTCACTGGATTCACCTAAAGCTATACAAACACGACAATTAACTCCTTTCTCTTGTGCTTCTATCAGCAATCAAAACATGTTTAACACCGCGGACTTTTAACCGCTGTTAATTACTTTCGAATTTCGAAAAGTTTCGAAAGGTTTTCGAACCAACCAATTTGGTTCTTTTATCATAATTCACCCCATATATGTTGACAGGACGTTTATAGTAGGACGGCTGGGAGAGGAGTGGACAGTGCCATGTGTTCCGCACCTCTCACTGGCAGACGCTGCGCAGTCACATAATGCCTCATTAAGGCTGGCACATTGGGAAATGCCGTTGCTGCGCCGCCCAGAGTGTAACCTTCCGTACTACGGCAAATACGCATGTGCATGAAACCACGTGTCGATCTAAAATAAGAAAAACAGTATTGTTTTTAAATGCATATCTATTTATATAGGGCCACAAATAAATTTAATTCAGAGGTACACTTTTTAATGTTTGTAAATTAATTGTAACTTAATTAACTGAAGTGTAATTGTGTAAACTACAAGTACTCACTTTAAACTGAGGGAATAATCGTGTTTTGCTGATTCGCTATTTCTAACCAAAAAGGCGCCTTCATCCGCATCTCTAAGCAAAGTTTCAGCTTCAACGCGAGATAAAGTCCCATGGTACCACCTGAAATGATAAAAATGACAATGTTATTGTTTGGAAATCGATTCATTTCGATCGGGTCATTAAAATAATTTGTGCATATATTATTGAAATAAAATGTTAGAAAGAACAAAACTTGAACATACCCTTGCCGGTCAAGTGGAAGAGTGGCATCGACGAGATCCCGTGGTGGAGCTATCGGTCCTAGATTTAAATGTAACCCCTTTGAACTGCTAGAACCACCACTACCGCTGTCGAAATTTAAATTCAAATTGGGTTTGTGTTTATTTCCTGGAATAAGAAAAAAACAATATTTATAGAACCTAAAATAGAAATCTTACAAAAAAATATTTTTACTGTGCTGAATCTAAGATGCCTCTTCTCATTACACGTCAATGTCAAGTAACACGCAATTCTCTACATTTACGAACTCCTAACTCAACTGAACGGTTACAAATTGCCCCTAACATATAGCGGAAAAGTTCCCTCAAAAAGCACTCAAGTAAATTAAATATTGGGTGGGCTTCGGCCTTAAGAGATTCATGTATACCAACTCGCAGTCATACGTCTTAATCGGCATAATGTGGCTGCAGTCTTTTCGAATTAGAGAAATCGAACAATCAAAACTGACAGGCCCTTCTTTTTTTGAAAATTGACATGTAAATCCCTCTGACATAACAAAATATTAAATATCCCGTTAGGAAACTATCTCAACTGCTCAAACTTGCACGCAAAGACGATTTAGAATAAAAATGAAAAAATACGTTTTATAAATTAGTAAAAATTTCTGTTACAAGAATTTATGAAAACACAAACCTTGGTTCAGGTCCTGAACACTTTGGCTGGAAGATGCGTTTGAGATAGCTCCTGTAAAGTCATTGTTGAGTTGTAGCGACTGTCCTCGTAGTTTTCTACGTAGTTTAGGCATATCAAATGGCAAGGATCTTAAGTCGGCTTCAGCTTCAGCACGACGTCTTCTCAACTTTGGCATGTCGAAAGGAAGATCAGATAAATCTACGTCTTCATCTTTGCGTTCCTCTTCAGTGTTACTGTTTTTAAAGTTAATGAAAGCATTACGAGAATCCACGCCCTCTCTTGAATGTATGGATATCCCACTGTCAGAGCCTTGAATTTCTGCGTCGCCTGTTGTAGAGTGTCGAAACGTTAGATTTAAAATATTTCTATTTTGTAGTGCCCGACGTTTAGGTTTGGCAACAATTTCGACAGTTGTTTGTATCGTCGCGTTTCCAGTTTCAACGTCTTCAGGAGACACTTTTTGTGAGTTGTTATTTTTGTTATTATCGGATGTTTCTGAAGCCGGTTCCTGTGATGATTTATCAGATATAGGACTTAAAATATGTAGTTTAGCGGGATGATGCCCAAACCCCGATAGTTGCATATGATGTGATTTTGTGAATGGCACATTTCCCGAGTCAGAGCTGTGTGAACTTAGCGAAGAAGAATGACGGCTTTCTGAACTACTGCTACTTCTATCCCCTTCACTATTACTACTTCGCAGTGACTCCATACTGCCTCCACTGCTGCTCGTGGCCATACTTTCTGTGCTAGAGTATTTACGACGCGGACGTATTACGCCAGGCCTTCCTTTAAACTCCATTATAGGGCCGACCCCCTTTGGCCCAGTATACCGATTCAATTCAGGTGTATCAGAATCGGAAGTGGGTCGACCCTTAATCTCTAAAAAAATACCGTCTTTTGATTGTCCCCCCTCATCATCTCCATCACGAGACTCACGGCTTGAATCCCTTAGTCGTTGGCCGAGGTCTAACTCAGTAGAGCCTTTTACATCAGCCATACTAGCTTCACTGCTTGTCGGTGTATCCCGAGCACGTAATGATTTAACAGGCAGTCTCAAGTCCTTAAGTCGAGGATGTGCTGGTTGTGACTGTGGTAGATTCGGGGCGCTTTTAATACTATTCATGGCGGATCCATCTTTTTGCTGAAATTTAGTCGGTAATGGGGCTGTTGATGGTGGAGACGGTGTATAGCCGCGAAGTGGAAGTTGAGATGCTGAAGCAGTTCTTCCATCTCCATCAATGTGCACATTTTCTAATTCCTCTGACAGGTCACATGCATTATTTTCATTTTCCCTCTTTTGACGGATAGTGGGAATTTTAGATCGCCGAACACTATCAGTTTTCATAGTCACCTTGCGGCGACCTTTATAATCTGGTTCACTATGCTCGACCGCATCAAATGCAGACGATGCTGACGATATAACTTTTCGGCCCTCTGCATGCAAAAGAGCTGGATGATTACTGACTCGGTCAAAGTCATCTAGATCATCATCTGACCGTGCAACTTTACAGTCAAAAGCTGTTTCATATATCTGTCTGGTGGTCATCTCTTGCGGCCAGCGGGGCAAAGGCGCCGGCACGTAAAAGACGCTACGAGAAGAACGATGGTCCTCTACATCGTCGGGCGCGGCGCACACGCAGCCGGCCGCGTCGCGCCCGCGGCGCCTCGGCGGCATCCACGCGCTCTCACCGGACGAAGATGACGACCGCTCTAATTCGCGAAAACCATCTTCAGCGACTGAAAATCTTTTAGGCAGATTAGGTCGTGGTGCAACGTGAGGAGCGTCTAAGCTAGCTGATTTTCTGTATCGCGGGCCACGGGATGACGATGTTGTGGAAATGGTGGGGGCAGATGGTGCCGGTGGTTGTGCGGACGTTTTAAACAGATCGCCGTAGTAGTAAGGACTAGGATTCCTACGAGGTGCGTTAGCGTATCGCGGGTCTGAACGCCCACTGTCCGGCGAATGTAAAGATGGTGCTGTGGCGAATGGATCGAATTCACCGAATTCCTCCTCTTCTTCCTCTGATGATGTTGATCTATCGTCTGAGGATGATTCTGTAACAAAACAAATAATATTGTATTTTTACGAAAACTAGGGGAAATAAAAATCCAAAGTTCTACTTAACAAAGGTTTCATGGTATTCAAATAAGTTCTAATGTATCACCTCGTCGATATACTTAAAACTTTTAATAAAATGCTATTCCCATTTAATGTTTATTGATCTTTACATATAGCGATAAATTAGCAACGAACCTACATAAAAGAGTTTTTTGAAGTTATGCCCTCTTAAAATGAACGCACTCATTTCCATCTGTTGATTTTCAAGTAGCTGAGCTAATGAATACACTAAACCCCTTACACAAGTGCCTACATGTAAAGCTAATGTTATTTCAAAGGCACGAAAACTAAAACCTTAACGAGAATGCCTAGCTTCGTGTAACAAAGGACTCCTTCTGAATGCATCATGAACATAAAAGTCTGGATTTAAAAAGCCGCGACGATAGGAAAGAACTAACGAATCGTGGGCTGCCGTAATATGCTATTTTATAATAAACTTTTTAATATGCTTCCTACAACAAAGTCTTTTGTTTTAATACCGTATTTTCTGTAGCCTCATTTAGATTATTCTGTACTCATTGTTTGCGTTTCTTAAAAAATACGAGTATCTTAAGGTACTAAAGTGTGTTTAATTCATTATATGTATTACTCTCCTTGTGTTTTATATGAAAGTGTCACGAAATATAGGAGCAATTTTAGTTCAATACGTTGTGTCATCCATTGAACAAAGCGGCGTCAAAACTGTACAAATTGTCTATTAGCAGCGTGGAGAGTGCAGATGGGAGGGTAAGTGACGTCATTACGTGACGTAATTACTTTTCCGCGTGGACGACCAGGACGCACAAGTCGAAATTTGTTAAATTGTCGCGATTAACGTGTTTAATGTCTTTCGTAAGAATGTTAGCAGTGAAAGTAAATAAAGCCGTATATGCTGTGTATAAGTTTTTTCTGAGTAAGAACATGGGTAACATGCAGACAATACTTGAAGTTACAATTTTAGCACATCTTTTGCCATGTAACCAACAGTTAATGTTAAAGCTAATATGACAATGTTTTATTTGATAAAGAAAAATACTGGCATAAAATAAATTATAAAATACTGCTTCCAAAAGTAATCTGAATCCGCAGCAGTGCTCACAATAAAAGCCTCTATTAATATAAAATCTCCGACATTTTTTCCAGCCTAGTCTAGACGAATGGACAAACGGCAAAAGGGCTGATTAAAACTTCCTATTGTTGCATCAATACGCTGATATTAATGGATGAAAATCTTTGGATGACACAAATGAAGTCGGATTATTATTTCACTACGTTACTTGTTCTATAGCTGTATCTCCTTGCATCCAGGCGCATCGATATCTATTTTATTACGTAAACTTTATCACGTCAAACATTTTTTTATGTTTAGTTTCTCTTTTATCAATTATATTTTATGCTTAGTGTTATGGGTCCAAAAAAAAAATGAGTGCGTTAAGTAAAAGCGTACTATTAAGTAAAAATAAGTTTCTTTTTAACGAAGGGAAACTGTCTAGCCTAGCCATAGGAAAACAATAGTGTAAGTAAGTAGACTCCACCAAGATCGCTACAACAGAAGAAAGGATCTTTTGTTCCTACAGTCCTATGTAGGATGTTCTTAAAAAGTTGCAGCTTGTATGAAAACTAAGAAAATGAAACTAGGAACATTTTTAGTCTTCGATTATTTAAAATTTTCTTTAAAAGTTATTTAAAGTTTTAACCTCAAGCCAATATGAGAGTTTTAACAATAAAATCAATACATACTACACAAGTATTCGCTAATAAATCTACAATAATATTATTATAGTTCATACGTTTTGATAATTAGCGTCATTTTCTTGTTTTTATATTGATAGTAGCAAAGACTTACACATTTGGAAGCTGTAAACAATGGATTTTTAAGTGTGGCTATAATAAACCTACAATGCGAGATAATTGTGTTATGGTTATTACGCATGTCTAATAACAATCAGATAACTAGAACAATCTTAATTAATGTTATCATTTTTAACTCATTAAGCACTTTAGTAACTCGCAACTCATTTAACACTGTTATTAGCAGTATTTGAAATACTTACTTACTTAATAAAAATGTGAAATTCGTACGGATTCCCTTTTTTTATTAAAATTTTATGCTACTCGTATTTTGTAGTTAACTTACCAGTCTCGTAGTATGGCTGAGACCGATGTCTTGATTGCTTCTCGTGCCTGAATGACGCTGAAGGTGCCGGCTCCGGTGGAGACTCGACAGAACCTTCCGGTGCACTCTCAGGACTTCTTCGTGAAACACTTGGAGCCGACAAATCAAAGTCGGTCCTTCTCGCAGATTCGTAGTCGGCCCGCCTTCGAGCTGACCCGGCGTCAAATTCTGCCCTTCTGCCTGATTCTTCGTCGAACTCTCTTCCGTAGTACCTTCGACTCTCGTAGTCGTAAGAACGTCGACTAGAATCAACGTCGTAATTTGAACGGCGGGAGTCGTACCGCCATTTGGTAGTATCGGGGGAGCGGCGTGGCTCTCTGGAACGCCTGCTTCGCTGTGGTGAACGGCGAGCTGTATCACGAGGTGTGCAATACGCTTCTATAAATTCAACCTACAACAAAAGAAAGAAGAATATTATTCAATGCTCGTATAGTCGTGGTCCAACTTTATAAAACTGAATATCCTAGTTTTAATAGAAACGGATGGATCAATTAAGGTTATAAGAATATACCAATGGAGCATATAAAGCAATAATAAGGGTATGCTACCCTTTGACTATTAGTCGAAGAGAAGCCCTTCATCATGAAGGTCTATTATGTGGCAGAGTAAAGTGGTAATAAAATGCAGCGGTCACATATTCAGCGACCGTAACGGCCAGCTAGACGTTCTCTCTCCCCTCAACGGGGCGTCATTACCACGACCCGTTTCTGTTTATGGGGATGGATATAAAGAATATTATGAGATATTGTGCCTGGATCGACGATACTATGAGGTGATAACATTTGGAGGGACGCTGGCAAATTTAGTGGTGTGAAGACAAATTTTTATAGCGCATTTCTGAAATGTTTGTTCTTTTATTTTGTCAGGGCCGCTATCCTCGCTGGGGCATGATAACATGAAATGGATTCGAACTACATTCTTAAATAAAAGTCGTCAAACAACAACACACACAATACTTTCACATTAAGGAAAACGAAATGACAATTAATGAGAGAAACTTACAATTAAAAGTATAACATAACACAAAGTACGAGTAATAAGTACAAAATTCAGGCGCAATTCACATATTTTTATTTACGAATCTGTTTATAAATAAAACGATATCTGTTTATCCCGGGGGTGGTTTCAGGCCATTAGAGTCAGTGATGAGTTCCCGCTTCCGCGCCTCCGGACACGAAGGGTCTCTAACCAAGAGTTCTCATTAAATGTTAAATTAGTAACTCGTGGCTGATTCGTTGAGAGTTGTTTACGTAAACTGTTCATGTACGCCCCGTGTCTTTATGTGAAAAAAATACCTACGAGTGAATGTTACGAGTTTAAAGTGTTTCAACAAGCATTTTATTACGACGTACATATATACTCTATCAGAAACTTAATAAAAGTTGGTAGGTAACTACATAAAAATTATATTGCCGTTGTGAGCTGGGCGCAACTTTGCAATAAAAGAAGAAAAGGGTGATCCATTTTCAGCCTTAGGGCAGTTCTCTTGAAACTTTTACTATAGAAAGGGGCATTGTTTAACGATTCCATTCTATGCATGAAAATTTATTTACATAATTAAACGTCTCGTCATGGCCACCCTCCAGTTACGATAAGTGATGTCTACAGAGATTTTTTTCATTGTTCGTTTGCATTTTTTAATGCTTAATTAAAACACCCAATAAATTAAGTTAGTTTTATATACCTTGCCGTTAGGTCCAGTTTACTTGAGTTTATCATTTAACAGTTTAATCTAATCTGTTTACTCATGAATAGATAAAAATTGTCACTTGGTGCACGAGATTTTGCATAAAATTTGTTTTAAAGATCTCCTAGCTCGTAATAAATCGTATCGTGTCCTTGTGTGTAGGTACTCAGTATTTTACTTGTGAAAGGATTCAAATCATTACCGCCATTCAAACACAAGGGTTAACTCTGAAAAGGATTAAATTGAATTCTACGCTAGCACACATGTTCGCGTCTGGCCATTCATGGATTGTAATAGGGGAAGAGTAGTCAACAGCTCACTTCCTGTACTAACATGGCGTATACGCACTGACCAATAAAAATGAACTCTACTTGTTAGCAATAAAGTAGGTAATAATAATATTAGTGTTCTACGTTATTTGTTTATTGACAAATCATTTAAGTTCTTTTTAGTTCACCGCATTGTGAGGCCAATAAATTGTAGGTAATTGATAAATTTCAATGGGTTCTAGTCGTTTCTTTTTTGGTCTCAAGTTCTTAACTTAGGCGGTACATAATGTGCAAAATCAGTCTGATCTGCTTATATACTCTAAAAGTATATCTATCATCATATTATATATCTATCATAGTGTATATCAAGACAAAAATTACCAAAAAATACATGAATCCCCAATCTACGACCTTATTTTTATTCATTGAGTGACGCCATTTTGCTATCATACTGAATACATATTTTAGTGTCATAATACATAAGAGATGACAAAAATTCCACTCGTGTGCTAAAATATTTTTTGTATCGTCTTAAACCTTTATCTCATTTTGTCTATAGCCTCGCTGTAGATACAACTACTCGTATATTGATTTGATATTTCTTTTAATATCGTAATAACATTAATAGTATAAAATTCGTATAATAAACCAACTAATTCCATATTACTTTAAATGGAACATAATGTCAGGAAGGAAATCGACTTAAGATAAACAATAGCGGCCTTCATCAGGATTGGACTGACTCATGCTGATAATAAACGTTTGTACGTACGTACTTAATTCAATTTAAAAACGATAGATGTTTAAGGGTCGTAACACGTTTATGGTCTTACCTAAAACATGAGGTCAGATGACTCAAGTTTACATTATGGAATTCAGGCTCTTAAAAAAAATGGAAATTAAGAGTGTCAAAACACGTGTACGTGCGCGCGACGTATTAGAATCTATAAAGATACTTCTCTCATACATAATTATAAAATCTTTCACTATATGTTTAAGCGTAACACTCCTAATTTTTTAAACAAGGAAAAACTGTCATCTCATTTATCTCATAATAACATATTTTGTTTACGTCTGAAACAAAGTTTAAGCATGTACCTACTAGATGTCGAGGAAGTCGCCCATAAAAACGATTCCGGGTTCACCCAGTATGAGTAATGCAAACAGTATGAAGGATGTGGGACAAGACGGAGCTTTCAGACGACCAGATGAGTCACCGGCTCGACCGAGTATTAATACCGGAGACACGCCTCCTGGGATCCCGAACTAAAATAGCGCGGTGTCGCCTGTGTAATATGGTAATCTACGTTCCTACTTATAGATATATTTTTTAAATTTCTTCCCATCTGTGTGATATTTTTAAAAGATGAATCAATACGCTTTAAAATAAAGAACCCGTTACTATGAGTTATAACTACAGGACAAAATTAAATTTAGTTTTTGAAGGCTTTGAAGCATTTTAAGGAGATTTTTGACGTGTGCATAAATTTCAAAAAAAAATTGAAATAAATAATATTGCTAGGTGAAATCAATGCTTATACGAAGATTAAGACAAATATTAAATGATTTAGAATCTGTTATGATAATATAGCATGAGTCACGAGTGTCATTGCTTGTTTTGTTTACAAAATAGGATAAACACAAGACATTAGCTGCAGAACAATTTCAAGTAGGTACAAGTATAAGTAAGTCGTTGTAAAACCTCGTGGGGATGAAACGTGCCTGTACTGAAATTGGACCTAAGTCTATCATTTGCCTTTTATACAGATGTGTAAATATTGCCCCGCAATAAAACACCAACATGGGAGAACTCGTTTGGTGCAATTGCATTTACCAGTTAACAATTGGCACGGCCATGCCTAGGCCGCGTGACTCTGTCTGGTCACGTTCAGCAAACCAGGGACCGCAAACAGGATCCCCGCAACTGAATTAATCAGATTGCGTTTAGTTCTTTTTACTTTGATTCGTTGAGTTTCTTATTTAATTTTACATTGGTCGATGCCGGTCTGCAATTTGTCTAGTCAATAAGTCATAATGTTGTAGTTGAGCATTGAAAACAAAATAAGACGCTCGGATAAATATCTCTGATTCATGCAAATACCAACGTGAAGTATTTTTATAATCGGTGTCAACAGTATTTTCGGATGTCTATTATCCAAGCACATTTGTGTTACCTATCTAACTGGGCACGCCATTGTTGTAGGGTACAAAACAACAGCGAAAATAAGCTTAATTACTAAGTTGCAGCGTCCAAATCACCCGGAGGGCACAAGGGTCTTCTAAAGTAGACCCTTACAAATGTTTCAAAGAAAGGAGCAATTATGGAATAAATTTTCAACACCGCCCCTACAGGTCATCGCTCTCTAAATATTATAATTGTTATTGACGATAGTAAAAGCAATAAATCTGAATCGTTTTAAATATGATTCATGAAATCTATGGTTACATGTGTCGCTGCTTCAATTGTTTTGCAAGAATTACACAATAAAGACGACAAGTTTTTGTCAAACGTAAAAAAAATATGTGAATAGATCCTTAAAATTGTCATTGTGACTACAAAAAAGGATCGTTATCGGATTAGCTTCTTTTGTAAACATTGTTCAACTTGCTTAACCTTTTTGGAGATGACGTTTAATAATATATTCCTCTTAAAGGGTGAGAAAACTGATTAGGGTGAAGATATACCTAATATCTTCTGTAGCAGACAAACTTAGTCATTGAAAGTGGCCGTTGTATTACAGATAACTTTTGTGTAGGTGCTGCTTATTCAAGTGCTGTAATAATTACTTATTAACAGTCAGAAACAATAGTGATTTGTTCTTTCAGTTTAATCTTGTCTTATATTAATATTGCCAACCGCGGGTCAAGTTTTATATCATTAATATCTAATGACGTAGGTATCAGAGATGAGAAAGATTGCGCCTGTCTATCGACAAGTAAACTTTGCTCTCTGAACTTATAACAGAGTTAAGTCAGTCTCGATATTGCTTCAAGAGCCTAATCAATATTTACCTACTTTAAGTTCTATCAATATGTTCCGGCCCTTTGAAATGTGTTTAGTTTGAGTAAATATTGTTTGGACGAAATTTTATGTGTTTGCGACCAACACGCTAATTACAGAAAATTATCACTATTTTTTAACAATACATATTATAAATTACGAGTATTAAATAGAACTAGATGCACGCAGTTAGTCAAGTACAAATGATATGAACTTACCACATGCACCACTAGAATCCACTGAGCAATCTGTCGCATCTTTGACATTAGTTTCTTGTTCGACGGCATTGTTAATTCATAAATCCAATTTATAACAATCCAATCCTGAAGTATGTATGTAATCCACAAATAGCACAAAACGATCACCAACTTTATCGACCGTTTCACTGCCGACACGCACACACACAAGTTACTAAACTAGACCTACTTGTACACTTTCACACTAACTTGTTATTGTTCAATGTACACAAAATGTTTGTTACTATAGTAGCTTATATTACTAATAATATTAAGTCTAGGCGTTTGGCAGTAAACCTGCGATATAAACGCCTAGGACGACACGGTTACTTGACGAGTCCAACTGTAGACTGACAACACTACTCAAACGCTATACGCGAATGTGTAAAATGGTGACTCATCGCCCCGCATACTGTTTACCGAGGCTTGAGTCATCGCAGTTAAAATAGCCACAACAGCGATGAAGCGCTTTCGTAAAAACCCGATAGCTTGCACGTTACTAAACGCTACAGAATTGTAGAGCGCTGCATTGCTTAGTTGTAGATATCAAACTCCATTAATACCTCCATTCCGCACGTGTCCCTGATTATAGAGAGCAATAATGAACTTTAACATGCAATCTTTAAGATATAAAATGTTTCTGAAAGTGAGTGTAACCAAACATAAACTTTCCCGTTTAGATTTTGGCCCGACTTGAGTTATGTTAGATTACGCTCGACTAGGTCGAATGCCGTTTTGAGGTCGTTTACGAGTTCTAAGCAACAATGAATTTGTATTTGTAGAATATTTAGAACAATGATTGATCACTACACCGTATGCCTAAAGTCCAGCATTACGATCGAAAACTAAGAAATGTTGTCTTCGGAATGCGAGGTACTGGTACAGATATTTACTGAGTTTGTAATTAAAGTAGATACGAACTAGAATTCAAATAGTTGTAAACGCTTTCGAAACAATCTTACGTACTGTGATGCAGATCACTTAAGTTGCTAAACCTATTCAACATCATTTTACTGACAAATAGTTCTTTAGATGGGAACACTCAAAATGAATATTGTTAACAGCGATCGATGGATTGATCAAGAAGCGAAAAAATGGCTAGTGTGTTATACCAGTTCTACAAAGTTCCATGATTCGGCATACGTCTCTAGTGACCTTTTGTGGACAACGGGTTTTTGCGTAACTTGCATAACTTTCGGACGAATGATTTGTGGTATTTAGATAATTTTATTCATAAATAGCTGCATATTTTTATTTTATTTATTTCTCACTGCTTATTTTTTCAAGGTGATATTTATTGAGCACCAAAAAAGACCAAACAGGCAGCGATAGAAGCGCCGAGGAGGCTCCGTTCCCCTTCGCTCTGCGGCCGTTGTCGTCACCCTGACAGCGAAAACAGCGGAGAGGGAAGTTCGCGGTAGGATGAGGAGATGAAACTCTAATAATGGACCCACATCTCCATCCGCCGGAGCATGGCACAGTGGTCCATCAACAACACTGCTGGCCTGGTTAGGTTGTAGACTGTGAACACCATGATTCCCACACACGAGGGGATCATCTAAAGGCCGTAGATGACCCGGGGTTCGTCGGGGTTCCAAGGCTTTCCTTCTAGGGTACACCTGGTTCCCCGGCTACTTTTACCCGTGACGGCGTGCGGTTTATGATCGGTTCGTGTCCGACATAACCACCAAAGGGGTTTCTGCACAAAAAAAAAATGCACAGTTTTTATTATCGAAGGTCGTCATGATGCCGCTTGTTTAAAATGGTTGCGGTTTAAATCACATTTTGTTTCCTCAAAGGCACGAATCACCATAGCATATACGAGTAACTATATAATATAATTATGTATATTTATGTGAGAGAAACATTCATTATATATCAAAATCATTCCTATTATGTCTGTTTCAGATAGTTTCAAAAAATTGATCATTTTAATTCAAGTGGTTCGTGATTGGTATTGATCACGTATCAATTGAATGACCGCTATCTGCACAGAATGACACAGAGATACATATCTACATACCTACAAAGATTCTTTTTATCACAGCGAAATAACGCAAAAAAGGGCAGTTGCTTGTTGATAAATTGAATAATGTAATAGTCATCATGTACCTAATAGAGTTTTAAGAAATATGTTTGGATTTTCGTTTAAATTTTTATGTTTGTTGTTATTTTTCAACAAGCTTTAAGAATTTGAGATCCGCATTTTGGTTCTATATTTTTTCAGGTTTGTTAACTTATGCCTAACTCCGCCATTTATGAGGATAATTCAGATATTTCTTTTTCATAAGGGAGTTTGGTCTAATTCAAATTTGAAGAAAAAATACCTACCGACCCTAAAAAAGCATTTCAAAGCATTGAAGAAGATTTTTTTAAAAGTTAGGTAATAATTTACTTCAAAATCTTAAAAGACTTAAAAGACTTTTTATACTTTAAGAAGCAAATGCATGAAATTCATTTTAGAATTATATTTCTTTATAAGTGTGCCTTCCGTTACAAGCTAAATTGATGAAATATCGTACAAAATGAGAAACACGATGCATCTTCATAGCCGCAAGATGCAACAACTCTGACAGGGTAATTTTGTATTTCTGGTGTAGAATAAAACCAGATCTGCTCCTATAGCAGTCAAATAGTTATTTATTCAGTCAATATTTATTTCGATCATGAGTATTGTGCAATCAATACCCACAGACATGTAAATATCACACGTTATGTGCCAGAAGCTAATAAAAATATCAAATAGGCATGACCCTGGTGTTATTATCATTTGAATAAATATTTTTTTAATTATCACGTTCTGAGTAATACATTAATGTAGTAACTTACGAGAGTTTAATTATTATATTCATGTATTCCTTACTAATCGAAATGTGTCCAAGTCATTTTCGATAGTTTGAGTTCAAATGAAAAGTCTAATAGCTAAGTACTTACAAGGAAGGAACTGATTAAAAAAAACATTTTTGTAATGGCACCACATCACATTACATCAACAGCCTTTAATAGTCCACTGCTGGACATAGGCCTCTCCTTAGAAATGAAGTTCTAGCCTACTATACCACGCTGGTCAGACGAGTTGGTATAGGGTTAGTGTCAAGTTGTTCTTCTCTTTGCAGTGCTGTTGGCCTGCGAGGTTTGCTCTTTTGGCTCTTACGACTCCCACAGGATGAATAGGGGTGATGACACTCCGTATTTTATATCCCTCACCACACGGCATTATTTGCATACTTCACTCTAATATATATTGATTATTCATTTATCTTCAATTAGGCGAATTGCAATGTTTACAATATATGGTAATGTTATAACGACAAACCCAAACAAAATCAATTTTTAATATGTATGTGTGTAAATTGTATAATCTCTGTTATTTGTCCTCCGATCGACGTACTTCTGCAAAAAGCATACGATAACATCGGTGCACATTTTGATACATTTGTACTAGTGACGGAAATTATTGATACATTAAAAACATAATCAGATGATGAAGTGATTGGCTTTAGTCACTGCGATTTCACCTGTGATTTATCACTACTCGGATTTGGTCATATACAAAGATAAACGCCATTAAAATCTTAAACAAAGAAAAAAAAAAACTTTTTATCAAGGGCTACGATCTTTTTTAGACTTATTAGACCTTTCGCGAGTTTGGCGCTATCGTAATCAGAAATATAATTAACTATATAAAATTTACCAACTATATTTAATAAATCCCATTAATTATGCCGATTGCAGTCGGGAAATGCCCGGAATAGTATACCGCATCTTAGGTTTTTAACTCTATTATTATTTTCACAAATTTGTAATGTGTAATCTGCGTGTTTACTGTGAGGCCACAGATCACACCTGTCGAGCCGACCATTAATTACTATCGGCCGAAAGGTATCGTTCATATCACCACAGTACTAAATGTTAAAACCTTTTTTTTGTGCAAGTTATCAGAAAAAAATTATCACGTCATAAGTGCCATTTTAAAACTAAAAACTGTTGCTTGATACACACTTCCTTTATAATATTTTAGATAATATTGTTCAGTTACGAGCTCAAAAGGTCTTTTATTCACAACATACAAAAGGATGACACAACAATGGAACAAGAGCAAGATCGTTATTACAATAGAATTAAAACAAGGTTTGATTGTTTTAAGTAATGAAATAACGACGGATGTATATCCGTTGGTTAAGTTATTTTATTTTTTTATTTATTTACCATTTTTTAATGACAGACTAAAATATATTCTTGTAATAGAATCTTAGAGATAAAAACAATATTTATTTATTGCTATCTACTCAGCACTACAGTACATTCGCGTTAAGAAAATAGTGACGTATCGATCAAGCCCCGCCCCGTGACCAATCAGGTTCCAAGAAATTGTCCGAAAGCTTGGAACCTAACTGTTCAGGGGTGCTAGTCAGGAACGCGACACCATTCTCTCAACGCGAATGGACTATAGATATTCAATATTTCATCAGCAGCCTTTAATAGTCCACTGCTGGACATAAGCCTCTACTTAGAAAGGAGGTTTTGGCCTACTATACCACGCTGGCCAGACGGGTTGGTATAGGGTTAGTGTCAAGTTTTCCTCCTCTCTGCAGTGCTGTTGTCCTGGGCAGTTTGCTCTCTTAGTCGGCTCTTACAACACCCACAGGATGAATAGGGGTGGTGACACTCTGTATTCTTAATCCGTCACCACACGGACACACACATTGTTGTATTCAACATTTGTTTAGATATATCGGTATGCTTGCTCGAGATAATCTTTTGCTAATGCAATGCTAATGCAATTTCCCTTTCCTTCAATTGCATACTCTTCTTACTTATCTTTCTCTTTTCATATACTTACTATCAATCTGACTATCTATAACAACTGTGGGAGAGCCATGCTCCGGGCCCAAATGGCCCGGCTTGACTGAACTGATACCACTGCCTCGCTGAAAACCGCTGCTTTTCACCAAGTGAATGAGGTGACCGAAGCCAAACCTCAACCTTCCCTCTAATTCTGGAGGGGAGCGGGGGGCCACCCAAACGGCGGCAATGCTTTTGTGACTATTGAGCTAAAAGTGTCGATGAGGAGCGATATTCACTTACGATTTATTGACCCATGTATTCGATTTTCCACTATTTCATAAAAAATAACTTTACACAGCTTGCTCATGTGTTACACATGTCATTGTAATAGGACAAAATTATAAATCTCAAAATGTAGGTCTTTAATAAGTCTCTTTCTGTGTATGTATTGACCTTTGACAGATTGATGAATACGCGTCACCAAATTAAAATTTAGTGCAATTGGGACGGTTGTAGAACTTTATTGACGTCCTTATCACAATTGACGTTTGGACATAAATCGGAAAGAGAAACACAGTAGATGTAAATAGAGGCTGCTTTATTCACTTTAAGTAGTCATTATGAAGTAATATATTCTTAAGATTAACATAAATTATAAAATGCTAACAGATGGATAAAATATAGGTATAAGTTACACAACAGAACTAACATAAAATTTCTCAAATATTGTGAACTACGAGTATATTCATGTTTATGCAAGCATTACGTATTCGACGATTAGATCGACAACAGGTTAACATTTATTTAACATATCGTGGTATGCACATATATATGAATTTGCTTAGAAACTCATGTTTTCCTATCCATTAGCTCGGCAATAGCAAATCTTTATACATTTAATTATTAGTTAAAAGTGCAAACGACGTCTGGTGACGAAATAGTAAACCTTGATGATCTAAGAATGAATGAGGTGAATGCACGCGTTATTCGATGTCGGCCGACCTTTCATCGATGACTTCATATGGCTAACATACCAAAAATAAACGACAATTGTTAAATAACTTTAATTTCAATAGCTTGATCTTTTGACCCTATTCAATTAAAAAGTTGTATGCAAATTAATTAGAAAAACAATTGAAAGAACAAAACAGAAATAAAACGGGCAAGTATATGGCGGGCTACTCTGTAAAGTTTTCTAGTTTACCGATTTAAACAAATAACAACTCCATCTTAACTTACTTTATTAGTGCTTTTGTGTGGTACCCTAAAATGTTTTTCCATAAGATTTTAAATAAAATAAAATATTTATAATACATACAATGCCTATGGAAAGCTACAACTTTATAGTTGTTTAATAAAGCAAGCTTTGTCCATGTGGTGACGAATTAAAAATACTGAATACACCACCCCTATTAATCCCGTTGGTGTCGTAAGAGCCGATTAAGGGAGGACAACAGCACTGTAAAGAGAAAGAAAACTTGAAACAAACCCTTTTTTTTTTTTTTTTTTTTAACGTGTGGAAATCCCCTCGGACCGTCACCCCTCCGGGGTTTGCGGCGGGGTGGTGTGTCGGACTCGGACCGACTAAAACCACACGGTGTGCCACTCTGCGCCTGTAACAGGAGGGATCCGGGAACAGCTGTTGTTAAGACATCCGGACCCCTCCTAGCGCCAGCCCGCTCCTGGTGCGGGCTCCGTCTCATTGTAGATGTTCCTCTCTTTAGGCGACGTCCGGCACACGCGGACGCCGCCCCCTCGCGGCTGGCCAAACTAATGCGGGTGGAGGGGAAACCCACCCCGTCCACCCGCGGCCACACTCAGGGCGGCATGAGGCTGTGGTAGGCGGGCCTCCGCCGCCCGGTTCGCCGGCGGCGGATCGGGTCCGAGTGGAGGTCGTCCTCCCGGGCCCTCTCCGCCGCCTCCTTCCGCGAGATTACTACCTCGCAGAAGGTTGCGACCGCGGTAAAACAACTGTCGCTACCGGCCATGGAGCGTACTACGGCCGGTAGCGAGAGATCCACTCCGATGACTGCAGTGAGGGCCCGGCGCTGCGCCGCCCATGCGGGGCAGACCGCCAGCGTGTGCTGGGCCGAGTCCTCACTGCAGTCGCAGTGGTGGCAGGCGGGACTCAGTTCCCTCCTAGCGACCGTGTGCAGGTACTTTCCGAAGCAACCGTGCCCGGAAAGCACCTGCGTCAGTCGGAAGGAAAGGGTCCCGTGCTGCCGCCCTGCCCACTCGGCGATGACCGGCTGGAGAGCCTCCACGGCGGCGAAGCCAGCGCGTGGAGTCTCCAGCCGGAACGACCAACGAGCCATCGTGGCTCGGCGAGCGGCTTCGCGCCACTCGCGCACATCCTCGGGCGGAGGGCGAAATCCGCTCTCCGCCCGGGAGTCAGCCACTCGCCGATAAACCTCGGCGAGCACTTCCGCCTCCAAATCCCACGGGGGAGTTCCGGCCAACGCGCACGCCACCTCCGTAGAAACGGTGCGGTAACCGCGTATGGCTCTGACCGCCATTACCCTCTGAGGGCGCCAGAGGCGTACCCTATTCTGGGCGGTCAGAGCCGCCGCCCACACCGGTGCACCGTACAGTGCCATTGACCGGACAACCCCCGTGTACAGCCGTCTTGTCGCGACGCTGGGTCCACCCATATTGGGCAAGAGTCGCCCTAGGGCAGACGCAGCGCCGACCAGCTTTGGAGCAAGCTGTCGGAAGTGCTCGTCGAAGAGCCACCTCCCGTCGAGGATCAGGCCCAGATATTTCATCTGGGCCCGAACCGGTACGAGGACCGAGTTGACCACGATTGAGGCGCCAGGGGGTGGACCACGACGGGGCCCATGGAATAACAGGGCCTCCGTCTTATCTAGGGCCACCCGTAAGCCCAGCGCCTCAATGCGCCCGACCACCAGGGAGACTCCCCCTGTGGCCAGGCGCGCCGCCTCTTGGAAGTTTGCCCCCCGGGCTGTCACGAGGGTATCGTCTGCGTAACAGATTACACCCAGCCCGGGGGGGAAATCGGCGCGAAGGGCCCAGTCGTACCCTATGTTCCACAAGAGGGGTCCAAGAACAGACCCCTGTGGAACACCGCACGACATGGGCCGACACCTCAGATTACCTTCTCGGTCCTCGTACACGACGGTACGCTCCTCTAAATAGTCTGCCACTAGCCGCCTCAGGTACTTTGGCACCCCATGATAGTGGAGTGCTTCCCTGATGCAGCTGAATGGCAGACTATTGAATGCGTTGGCGATGTCTAATGACACCGCCAACAGCACGCCGCCACAGCTCACGGCCTCCTCGGTCACGGCCCTCAGGCGCAACACGGCGTCGACTGTCGAACGCCCCGCCCGAAAACCAAATTGGGCGTCCGACAGATCGGGGCCCACCTCGCAGAGGTGCCGGACGATGCGGGCAGAAAGAACCCTCTCAAACAATTTGCCCGCCTCGTCCAGCAGCACGATGGGCCTATAGGCCGCGACCGAATCGGCAGGCCGTCCCGGCTTCTGCAGCAGGACCAGCTTCCCGCATTTCCAACGCTCAGGGAAGCGTCCGGACGCCAGGCTAGCGTCCAACACCCCCCTGAGGTGGTCCGACATGTAGTCGAGGGCTCGGGCCATCACTCGGGCTGGAACCCCGTCCGGCCCGGGGGCGGTGTTCTTGGATCGAATCCGTAGAACAGCCGCCCCCAACTCCGATTCCCTGACGGGCGGAACATCGACCTCGCTGCCCCCGTCGTCTCCGGCTAATGCAGCCATCGACGGGGGTGTGTGCTCCGCCCGCTGCGGGAATAGGCCCTCGACCACTTCCTGCAGGAAGCTGGGCTGGAGAGTCTCCGTAAGGGGGGGGGCCCAACGCGCGGAGCTTTTGTCGCACCGCGCGGTAAGGGCGACCCCAGGGGTCACGATTAAGACCCTCCAGCATCTCCTGTCTCTTTTCCTCTTTGGCGCGGCTAATGGCCAGCTTCAGAGTTTTCCGCGCCCGCCGGTACTCCTCATGAAGCCGGTCCTCCTCACCGTCTCCACGGTGACGCCGCCGACTGCGTGTGTAGGACCTCCGGGCACGTGTACAGGCCGCACGGAGGTCCGCCAGCTCCTGGGACCACCAGTAGACCTCCTTCCTTGGAGGCCGACGACCTCGAATGCGGGGCATGGCCGCATCGCAGATATGCGTAATCGCATCGCGAAAGCGGCCAGCCCCCACGTCGACCTCCTCGGTCGGAGCCTGAGGAGACAGCCACGAGTGAATTATGGCTGCCTCCTCTAGTAGGTCCCGGTTCAGTCTGGCAACAGCCCACCGCGGAAAGCGGGATAAACGCCGCGCCACGTGACCCCTACTGGAGTCCTGGGTCCGGGAGAGCTCAAATCGGATATACAGGTGATCCGAGAGCGTCTCAACCTCTTCCAGGACACACCAGTTCCTTACTCGTGCGGCGAGGGCAGGGGTAGCGAACGAGAGGTCCACTATCGACCCCCCCTGCTGTCGCACGCACGTGTTGGTGGAGCCTCTGTTTAGAAGACAGAGGCCCACCGAGGCCGCCCACTCCTCTACGGCCTCGCCCCTTGCGTCCGTCCTGGGGGAACCCCACGCAATGGACTTTGCGTTGAAGTCCCCCAGCACAAGGACGTGCCCAGACGCTAGTCGCCGTATCGAGGTCTCCAAGCTGGTTAGGAAAACCTCGAAGTCGTTCAAACTCCGGTTGGGGGAGAAATAAACACCATATATGGTGATCCCCCCCCACTCGACGGCAACATATCCAGTGCCCTTGTCTCTTAGCGACAAGGGCGGGGAATGAGCCGTCGTGGAACCGACGACTGCCACGGAGCCGTCCCAGTCACCCATCCAGTTTGGACGGGGAGGGACAGAATAGGGCTCCGCGACTACGGCAACACCTATCGACCACTGTGCCATGGTTTGCAGGAAGAGATCCTGCGCCGCGGCACAGTGGTTCAGGTTCGTCTGGACCAGGAGGCTGGAGACCCGATCCATTACTGGATCGTCTCTACAGCCTCCTCCATGGGCGACGACGTCGACGCACGAACTATATCGGAGGCAGCCTGGGTCGACTGGCTAGCCCCCGATGCTTGCTGAGAGTTGCGGGGAGGCTTGCAGCCCCCCTGCCCCATCTGGTGATTGGCGGGCTTGTTACCCGCCGCACACACCGGGCAGTGAGGGGCGGCAGAGCATTCCACCGCCACATGCCCCGGTCGACCACAGCGGAAACAGAGTCCGCTGCAGTCAAAGCAGCTTTGGCACTTGACGCGCGTGTGCCCCGATGCTAGGCATTTGTAACACCTCATCGGTCTCGCCGCCAGGACTGTGATCCTGGCGCTCACGAAACCGATGAGCAGCCTGCCGGCGTCGGCCAATACTTTGGCCGACGCTACGGGACAGCTGACCCACACGGCGCCAAGCCCCCCTGGACCGGGGCGGATGGTGCCGACCCTGACGTTGTCCGCGCTGCACCCCGTCTTCTCCCGGATTACAGCGCGGACATCTTCGGCCGTCACAGAGTCGTCCAGGCCCGAGATGCGCAGCTCCGCGCACTTGGTAGGCCTGGCGACCCTCACACCATCTGTAGTCGCGAATATACCCCGCAGCCTCTCAGCAAACGAGTCCGCCGTCTTTGCGCCTTCAGCCCCAGGGAACTCGAGGACTCGAGCTCCCGTCTGGGCGAGGCGCATCCTGACCCCCACCGTTCCAAAATCGTTGGCGAGGCTGTCCCGGGCCTTTTTGAAAACGGCCGCGTAGGACAGCCCGCCGTCCGCCGCCTCCGGGGACACGGTCACCACTACAGCCGCGGTTTTGGGCGGCTGCAGCTTCCGCGGCCTCTTTGTGGAGGCCGTTGCCACCGGTGGCGAAGGCTGGGCTTGGGCTGCTTTTTTGGCAGCCTTTTTGGCCCGCCTTCGGGACTTCTTGGAGCCCCTCGCCTCCTGCCAACCCTCGTTGGAGGGGGCAGGTGCGGAGGGGCCCGGCAGGGGTGTCGGAGTGGGGAGCGGAGGGAATGCCACTCCGCTCCTCGGCGCTGTTCTAGGCCCCGTCTTGGCCGGCGCCTGGGGATGCGCCCTGGCCGGCGCCTTAGCCGGTGCCTTGGCCGGCGCCTGGGCCGGTGCCTTGGCCCCCCTCCTCGGCTTTTGTGGAGCCGATGGAGTAGGGGCAGACGCCGCCGCCGCGTAAGAAACGCGGCCTCCCACAACGGGGAGCGCGGTCGGAGCGGCGGCCTTAGGCCGCTGTGCCGACGCGAGCGGGGGGCGCATAATCGGCGCAGGAGGCAATCTCGCCTCCAGGCCAGCCAGGCGTCCGTCCAGCATATTCCCAACTGCGATGAGGATTTCTCGCAGTTGGGAGTCAAATGCCCCTGAGTTGGTGGTAGGGGCAGGCTGGGACGCGGACGGGGCTTCCCGCTCGGGGAGGTTCGCCTGGAAGCGGGCGAACTGAGCGCTCAGCTCGTTCACCCGCTCCGTCAGCTTCTCGTTGGCCACCTGCAGGCGAGAGACGTCGCCCGCTAGGCCCTCCACGACCTCCGACAAAGCGGAGGAGGAGTCCTTAAGGGCCCTCACAAACGAGCCCTTAAGGTTCACGGATTTGGTGGCCACCTTGTTGATGACGGCCACCGCCGCTTTCGCCCTCTCCTGCACGGACACGGGAGCCTGGGGGGCATTTCCCCCCACCGGCTCCCGAACCTTGAGCAGGAGATCCGCGATCTCCTCCTCCGCTACGGCCTCGCCGTCCACCCGTACACTTCTGTAGGACTCCGCGTTTGAGAACGCGGAGCCTGACGGGGTCGAGACCGAGGCCGAGGCCGGTTTACGTTGCCTCCCTCGGCGGCTGCTTGCCACCTTTGGTGGCATCATTTCTTGGGACGTATCCGTTTCCTCGTCCCTGGAGCGTCCGCGTTTCCGGCTGTCGCTTCGTTCCGCCTCCATGGCCTCCGCGCCATCCGACGAAGCGGCGGATCCGGAACGCAGCCGATCCGATGCTCTTCGGCTCCCAGTGACCAGAGTCAGACTGACCTCTGGGAGCCCCATCGAGATAGGCGTTCCCGACACCATCTCGCCCTCAGTGGACGACCCATCCGCTCCACTGTTCTGCTTGTCCTTCCTTCCTTTTGCTTTCATGTCCTTTAGGCTTGCCTTTTTCGTTTGTATGTTGGTTCCGATCGTTTTTTTAATTTGTTGTAAATCATCCATAATAATCCCACGAGTGGGGGAGAACTAGAGGTCCACCCGGGCAGAGATCCCCCATTACCCGGGCAAGCGTAAGTTTTTAACCCAACCGAGGGGTCCGCAGGTACCTCGGCTTGGAGTGCGCTCGCGACTGAACTTCCCATCAGCCATGCATCCCCTGGCCACGCACCAGAACACGGGATTCGGGGAATTTTTTAGAGAGGTTATCTTCCTCGCGGTCCGGGCGGTTAAGCCAAGACCCTCGCCCCCGATCAGAGCCGCGAGACTTAACCACAGCGCTCTTCTCGGGATTACGATATGCCGACGGTTGACAGGGAGACTACGTCCCCCTGCCTGCTCGGTGGTAGTGTGAGTACACGCCGAGCCCGTCCTCCTTTCTCCACCGCTGTCAGCGGAGAAACTGTGGCCCCTACAGGGCCCCGCCATCAGGTTTTTTACCGAGGTTTCCTCCTCCATGCTCCGAAGAGCGAAGAGCCAGCAGGGCAACCGGCAGACACGCCCACCCTGCTGGACCAGGCCTTGCCCGAGAGCCGATGAACGGCTGCCTCTTCTGCTAGAATATTGGCCGCTGGCGATAATCCTCTCCTCCAAGAGGACAAGGAGGGAACAGTACAAACCCTATACCAACCCGCACGGCCAGCGTAATATTACGGGTACAAGGTCGATTGACACCACGAGCCGTTTACTTTTTTGCTTTTTGAATATGTCGTTTGGATCATGGTGTAAATCCACTTATATCTTATTTGTACGAGGCCAATTCGCCCCTTGGTCGTACTCTTTTTGACGTAGTTGATTTGGACCACAACCGTTTTTTTTTTAAATCTACCGTGATCGTCAAGTAGAAAAAAGCTAATGAAACCAAAACAGCATATAAAACTTTTAATATTATCTTGTTAAAAATAGTTATAAAACTACCACGCTGGCCAGGTGGGTTGTTACAGTTCTACTGGCCAAAACCTCCTTTCTTGGGAGAGGCCTAGGTCCAGTAGTGGCAGTCCACCTAGGCCTCTCCCTTAAATCCTGTTGATGATGACGATGAATAAGACATAAGAAAGACTTTTTATTTCATATTTTTTTCACTCATAAACAATTACCATTTCCCGCATTCATACACTGTTTTAATTGTGATATATAATTGTAAATACAATTTTTAAATAATACATATACGAGTATGTAGGTACAAGATGAATCACGAACTAAAAACGGCAGACTTATTGTATATATGTACGTGTTTAATTAACTCAATGAATGTATTACCTATTGTTTTTATACATTCATTTGGTACAATGAACTGCACTGCATTGCTATACAGTGTATTTCTATTACAGATACAAAAGATGTCTTATATCTCGTAATGATAACTCTTGCCTTCATTGGTGTCGTTATCGCGCTGAGTCACGTTATACAATGAAGGACAAATATTGTTATTTATATACAAATATATATTATGTACTCACGCCTTATTCCCGTTAGTTAAGTAGAGACGATAGGACGCCATTTGCTGCGATCCCTGCGACTCTAGCTAGAGTTTAGCAAAAAAGCAGCATACCTACTGAAGAAGAGTCTAGTTACTAGATGCTTCTTCAGTTTCAAACTGCTGTTTTGGTCGGTATACGTTTTTTTGGACCTTCCCGCAACGACTCACCCACTCCAAGGGTCGTTATGAACTTCTTTAATAATTCGATCATCGCTAAAGTTACTTTCATACCCAGACCATCGAAGCATTTCTTTCTCAATTCCTGCCACTATATCTTCATCGTCATAGTTACTTGTGTACATGTCTCTGTGTATAATTATTTTTTATTTAGTACCTATCAATGGCTGTACTGTGTTCTTTTTTTTTGGTAACGTAATCTAATCTGTTTTATGTACAGTATGGTTGCTGTGGAGATAACTTGCAATCAAATTAAATTTATGGCAGTACTGCACACAAGTGCTGTCACTTGTGCAAGGAAATAGAACGAGTTTCTTTATCTTGAGCATGTGTCATAAAATGACATTGGCAAAACCCTATCATAGAGATAGTGTTTTGCCACATTTAGTCATTCAACAACTAGAAAGGACAAAGAAACGTTAATAACTATTAAGTCATCACTCTCTTAAAAGTCTCATCTCTTAAACTCATTTTTCAAAAAAATCCGGAGCTGGAGGATTCTGGAGTCTATTTTATTTACATTCATTCACATTACTGTGGGGAAGCGATGCTCGGTCTCGGCCTCACGGAAACCGGTCTCAAGCAATTCTTTCGTTGCTATTTACTTTAGCCCTGATTCTTGGGGAAGTGGGGGGGGGGAGGGGTGGATCTCAAAGATTGGCAACGCATTTGTGACTCTTGAGTTGTAAGTGTCGATGGGCGACGGTACTTACTTACCATCAGAGGGCCAAACTAAACGCGCTCGCCGTCGAGAGCGAGTCGATGTGAAATAAACTTGCACTCGGCCCTTATGTCACCCGTCTGCTCGTTAGGCCCCCTCTACTGTAAATAGTCGTCTATATATGAAAATTTTAAGCTGGTTTGTGTACGGTTCAAAAACTCAAAGTGAAATATAACGCGATTCAAAGATGGTTTTTATCTAATTTTTCGTGTCACTTCTGGACTTTATTTCTTATCAATGTGGCAGGGTACAGCTAGTAAATAATAAAATATATTCATGTCTTTTGGCGGTTGATGTCTATATTAGTGGCCTCTCCAACCATTAGGACGGACATGAGGGTACGCAATCCCGACTTCTTCGAGCTACTTCAGTTTCAGTTCCAATACCGATTCGAGACTTGGTTTATCATTTTCTTTAACTGTCTCGTTTTTCTCACCGCAGTTACCTTACTATGTGGTCCCGCCTGAAAACGATTACATTCCCAACGAAGATTTGCTTCAGACTTTAGCAATATTACCAATTGCATCGACACCAAATGATTATAGTAATGATGATGCGTAAAAATATATATGAAAAAGAATAAGGTTAACACCGCGTACAAAGTTATGATCTATCATCAACACCTTATAACAGTCCACTGCTGGCTTAGAAAGGAGGTTTTGGCCTAATATACCATGCTGGCCAGATGGGTTTGTGGTACAGGGTTTGTGTCAAGTTTTCCTCCTCTTTATGTAATTTTGTCAACTTATTTTCAGTTTTTTAAAACGGTACCGTTTTAAAAAACTGTAAATAAGTTGACGTTAAAAGAAGTTAAAACGGTACCGTTTTAAAAAACTGTAAATAAAAAATAAAATTTACAGTAAATATAATATTAATAATAGTTTTGAATACAAATACCTTGAACAGTACATAAATAGAAATAAAAATAAATGCGTAGTTATCGTAATATTGAAACAAATATTATCATCAAGCTGATAGCCTCTTTAGGCAACCGTCTTTAAGTATCTGTTAGTGTTCACGCCGTGTCTTAATGGTGGTGCGGCGAAAGGAGTTTAAACCGGTTACTCGCTGGTTATGCGATCGCCCCACCTTCACCTCTACGCGCCGACATTCGACGACTTATTTTGCCTATGTATACACGTCTTACATTATGTACTAAATATTATATACATTTCGAATATTGTAAGTTTCGCTAATTATAATACAACTGAATGCTTGGAGCGTCTGTGTTTCAATTGGCCAACCCAAGACACCAGTATTCAACATATGGTGACCCCGACGTGATTTACCGAATTACGAGGAGAACAAAAGGACCCGTACAACAGCTTCCAGCCAACCCTCGCTTCAAGCCAGCCGGTCAGCCCACAGCGCCGCAGCCAAGGTTTAGCCAGGGAAGTGTACCTACCAATTAATCCTTTTATTCTAACATCCTATTATACCCACTTCTATTCGATTGTGTGATTTTGCCAACTTCTATGCCTTTTCATGCTTAAATCTCGCGATCTGGTTGGAAGCTTATATTTTATTCTATCTAAATAGCTTACATATAATACTTGGTGAAATAGCTTCCCTTTACTTGCGCATCAGTGTGCAAATTATTTTTCATCTAACAAAAATTATTCTACTGATATAGCTTACACATAATACCTATTCAATCAAATAGCTTCTCGTGATTCAGCATCAGAGTATAAATTATTTCATATCTTACAAAAATAGTTACGAGTAAATAAGTGCGGGGTAAATAGGTGCCTGCAGCCGTTATCTATAGCTGCGCGCACACCAGTAAAACGCTGTGTACCTCATTATTTATATTGTATAAGCTTTTTAGTTATATTCACGCATTTGTGCCATTTTAATTGCTTTAATACTTTACTTTTTCATTTTTTCTAACAATGCCTGACACAACACTACCTCCACTATCTGCGCTTATCACATCAAGAAGCTCGATTAAAGGTCAGATAACTAAATTTAGAAATTATCTTGATAGATTAACTAAATTCGAGACTATTTCGTATGAAGAAAAGACAGAACTGGCATTGAGGTTTGAACGGTTCCGGTTACTTTTTGATAAGTTTGACGAACTACAAACGCAAATTGAAATTTCGTCTTCAACCTCAATGCAAGTTGAAATAGATTCTCGAGAGGAGATAGAAAACGATTTTTTTACATTAATAGCAAGCGCTCAAAGGATAATGAATGCATCGAACGATAAATCGGATGTTGATGTTGCGCAAGCGCAGTGCAGTTACCGCGGTACCGGCGGTGAGGTAAATTTTAGATTACCCTTAATTAAAATTGCAAATTTTGATGGTACCTTTTCCAAGTGGCTCGAATTTAGAGATACCTTCAACTCTCTGATTCACGGCAATGACCACATAAAATCTATACATAAGTTTCACTATTTAAATTCCTATTTGGAGGGGGAAGCATCTCAAGTAATTAGTAATTTAGAGGTTACAGAGTCTAATTATACTGAGGCTTGGCAGCTCCTTTGCGATAGGTATGACAACAAAAGGCAATTGATTAATAATCATCTCAATTCCCTGTTTAATATTCAACCTATAGGTCGCGAATCAACCAAGGGATTGAGGTATTTAGTTGATCACGTGTCTAAAAACTTACGAGCTC